CATTCATCAAAGATAGGCAATCAGACAAACAACTAGCTTGTGTCATTAAAGAACCCCAATATACCACCAAGAGCTGCCCACATAGCCCCACAAAAAACTGAGTGTGCACATCTGCACTTAAGGATTCCATCTCACCCTCATTAAAGGGCACCTGGATGTCTGATATACTATATTTTTCAGAGTATAAGACAAACCCCTTTCCCTCAAAAAAGGATGAAAATCTGGGTGCGTCTTACACACCGAATGCAGCATTTTTTTGTCTCCTGAAACGCCACCCTCTTCACCAAAATGGTTGTGCATAGCTTGTAGGAGGCTCTCAGAGAGCTCCTGGGGGCTGGGGAAGGCAGAAATGAACAAAAAAAACCTGGCCATTTTTTCTCAATTTTTGCCCCCTCCCCCAGGCTCCAGGAACACTCTATAAGCTTCGTAATGCCCCTTTTTAACAAAAAAATAAGCCCGTTTTCTCAAAAAAGGACCGTTTTTGAGAAAAGGACCATTTTTGAGTTTTTGCCCCCCTCCTCCCCCCGGAACACTCTACAAGCCTCCTAAGGGCTATTTATGCCATTTTTTAAAAAGATGGGCCCATTTTTGGGAGGTTTGCAGAGTGCAAAAACTTTTTTTAATTTGCCTCTTCAAAATCTTGGTGCATCTTATACTCTGATGCGTCTTATACTCTGAAAAATATGGTACCTTGCTCCAGTGCTGCAGTTGACAGTGCAGGAGCCATGGGATATACAACCCCCCTCTCACTGTTTCTCGGGAAATGCCTACAGCAGGGATATCAAACTGGACTTCATTGAGGGCTGCATCAGGGTTATGTATGACCTTGGGGGCGGGGCATGGCCAGGCTGGGCATGGCCGGTGTGACATCACTCATGTTGAGGGCATCTGAGGTGGCTCAAGCTCTCTGTCAGCAAAAAATAGGTTCCTGAGCTCTATTTTTGGCTGCGATGGACTCCTGCAACCCTCTGACAGCGAAAAGAGCTTGGAAGGGCTGTGAATGGCCCCCATGAGCTCTGTTTTCACTGGCAGAGGCACTGCAGGCCAGTCCTTCTCTGTTTCCAGGGTTTGCCCTCGGGCCAGATCTAAGCACCTCACAGGCTGGATCTGGTCCCTGGGCCTTGGGCTTGACACCTCTGGGCTATAGCAATAACTTTGCCCAGCCCAATTGAATGCCAGTCAACCAATATTTTCTTCCTTGTCTTTTATTTCCTGGAACATCACAGAATGAAAATCCAGAGTAGAGGCCCATCTTTTCTGGCATAGATCTCTAGTTATGACATAGTTTTTTTTCCAGGAAACATTGTGTGTGGCTAAACTGCTAGGGAAAGGGTTTAAGACAATTACATTGGAAGCTGTGCCTAACATAGGACTAGGAAGGCTTTGTGGGGGCTTAGGCATTCTAACATCTGCCTCATTACAAGCTCAAATAACTAGTTTACAACTATGAGACTGGTATGCATTGGCAGCTCTCCTGCAATTCAGGAAGAGCCAACTCCTCGTGATTAATGAGTATATTCCACCCCTGCAAATATGATTACATATGAAACAAGGGATAAAATATATACCTATGTGGGAGATTTAAGGGTTGCATTCCCAATAGCATACTTAATATTAGTGGTGACTTTAACTCAAGAACTGGAACAAACAATAAATCACTCTTTGCTAAACTCCATTGTCAGCCATTGTTTCCTGTAATAACATCTATTTTACTCGCCAATCTACGGATGTACTGTATTCAATGACGGTAAAGGATTTTGTATTGTTTAAACTTTTACAAAACCATCTGGTAGTATTAAATGGGACCACCAGTGATGATTATCCAGTGAAGTTTACTCACTGGTTTAGTAGCAATACTTCCTATTAGTCTATGCTAGGATCTCCCAGAGCTTAATTCCCTATGTACCTAACTTTGTTACTTTGCACCTGAAAATTTTTGATAGGTTTTTTTTACCCTTTTACCATATTGCAACTGTGGCCCATGACCTTTGCCCTATTCATGATAAATGGACCCCTCAGCATGCAGCAATAATCACCAACTTTGAAGGGAGCCAACCAAATCTCTTTACTCAGCCATAGTCGATAGCAAGATAATTGTAATTGCTCTGGCTAGTTTCAATAGCCTAACAAATTATTTCAATCACTATTAACTGCCCCCAACCTATTATAGTTAGGCATGATTCAAAAACATGTCAGGTGAAGCTTGCAATTCTCTAAATTGTCCCCTAAAATTATTTTGAAACAAACAAAATTGAAATTTTGTTCAGTTTCTGACCTAGTGAATTTAAAAAAAAATAGTACAGTTAATCTATCAAAAAAGATGGGGGAATGCAATGGGGTTATTTGGTAACTCTTGATTGTGGTTGTCAGTACAAAAAATCCTGCCATCTTTTAGGGAATAGTAATTCCATCATTTCCCAATAATGCTAATAGCTTCATTGCATACCGTTTTGTGGCCCTACGAGGGCAAACAGAGAATTCCCTAACAACTTGGTTGTGACTTCTCTTCCCCACTGAGCCTGTCACAGGTTCAGAGATCAGAAATATAACTGAACAGTATAAACTAGGTAAAGCCCCATATTCAAAATTTATAATGTATGATAATAAAAAAATAATTTGAAATGGTGGATCTCAGTGCTAGCTTCACTTTTCACAGCAGTAGGTCATTCAGCCATGATACCAAAGGATTGGGGCTTGACTAGTATAATACCAAGAAGGGCAAAAGGGATGATCTAGCTAACTACTGCCCAATCAGTTTGCTAAGACAGATTAGCAAAATGTATGCCAAATATCTGCAGGAGGCAAAACTAATTAACGGGCTTGAATCTAAGGATATCTTTAGGGATGAACAGTCTTGAGTTTAGAACAGGACAATCAACATTAGAGTTGGTACTGCGATACCTGGTGCAACTCAGGACAATTCTTTTATGCTGCATTTATCAATTTCAGATTAGTTTTTGACACAATATCTAGAATTAAATTAAATTAATTGGCATAGATTAATTAACTGGCATAAATTAAGGCATGAATTAATTTAATTGGCATAAATTTAAAAACACCACAAGTGACAAATGTCTACTCCTGCTGCTCATCAAAATGCATGAGAAAACTGATTAAGACTGATGGTTAGGTGCAGTAGTCTAGGACACGTCACAAAAGAAATACCTGTAAGGAGGGAAGGTAGACTGTACTGTGTATTGTTTCCAGATTTATTCAACTATTATGTAAACTCGTTAATTCTTCACCTAAGTAGCCCTGCCTATCATCCCCCTAAATTAGCCCAAAGACATATCAGTTTACTTCTGTATGCCAATGAGGCAATAATCCTCTTATTAACCTTCATTGGCCTTAAAAGAGCTCTGAGATCACTTATCATCACTGCACTGAGGAGGAACTAATAATAAATTATGCTAAGACCAAGATCCTTACTTTCTCTAAACGCCCAAAATAGAGAAGCTGGAATTTAGGTGGGCAGTCCATTGAGCAGGTTAAGATTTTTAGATATCTAGGAATAACTTTTCAAGCCCCAGGTAGCAGAAATGAACACCTGGATTATGTTTCCACAATGCACAGAGATCTTCACCAACTACATAAACGTACTATTTTTCCAGAGGATCACAGTTTATTTCTGTGCAGTTAAGTTTTTTTGCAGCTAAAGCCCAAGAACAATTGTTATGTGGGGCTCAATTAAGACCATAGAACAGTATGATCATCTTAGGAAAGATTCAAATAGAATTTCTAAGCTTCCAGGTGACCTGCTGTGTTCCAAATGCAGTACTTCAACAGGAAACAGGGGCCAATAAATTCGAAACTAATATCTGTATAAATATCTTACTACTGATTAAAAATACTTCACCATTCTAGCATAGTGGCCCATTTAACATTGACAATTACATATATTCCTGAGAAATAGCAATCCAAAGGAAACTGAGATAAACTTCCAAGTGCTTCAACAACCCTCTAAAAAGATGCAAATGACCAGCTATTTGCAAGGAATATAAATCCTTCCATTCTCCACTATCCTGTCAGAGCTAAAGAAGCTTCTTGGATGAGAAGTGAAATGTCTTCAAAAGAAAAAACAAGAAAGTCCAGTTGCTTCCTGAAAAAGCATCTTTGGATGAGCCTTTATAGTTCTCCAATGATGCCATCCAAAAGTTAAATCAAGCCACTAAGGCAAAGGATATAGAAGGTCAAACAGAAGTTGCTGCTTTTTCCTCACCACATAACTGGAAATTCAAATATTAGTCTAAACCAGTTTCATATTTATATCATATCACAGCACCCGAATTTAGGAGAGTTTTATCCTTAGCTCCATTTAATATTTTCCCCACAGCTATCCTGCAAGAGAAGTATAGGAAAACCCCATATGAAACCCAATAGTGCCTTGTGATATGGGTGCTATAGAAACCACAGCCCATGTTCTTCTGTATTGCCAGTTCTACAGGGAACTTCACAAGAAATTGATCACAACTGTTTTATTCAGATTGCAAGGCACTTTGACAGCTTTTATCTGCATTTATGTTAAATAACACAGATTAACTTATTTCTCTAAAAGTTGCAAAAATATGTGTAAGGTTGTTAATAGTTTCTGATGTTAGGAAATAGCAATCAATTCATTGCTTGCATTTTTATTGGCAACGATTGGAATAAAGTCTTTCTGATTTCGTTTTCAAATGCAGTAAGCTGTTTAATATCAACCCAGAGTTGCAATGATCTAGTTGAGGGATGATTCACAAGATTTTGCTTTTTATCTGAATTCCATGTTTTCCAGCCACAACTTTTCCATTTCTCCAGTTTTATCTATTTGCATTTAAGCTGATATGTGCACAACCAAACATGTAAATAGTCTTATTGACATCCATTACTGGAGCATGGTTACTGGAGATTATTATTATTGTTGTTGTTAAATGTATATGCCACCTAACTCCCAGCTACTCTGGGCATTTCCCTATTCTTATTATATCTACAAAAGAAGAAGAAAAATGCCCATCTTAACCTACCAAGCCAGCTTTCTGTCGTGCCTGCTGCAGTTCTTGGATAAAACCCTGCAGTTCGTTTCCATCCATGTATCCATTACCTGTAACACCAAGAGAGAGAAACACAATGGTTACAGCTCTTAAGTGGTTTCTCTCTTTTCCCCCCTGCCGGCATATAACCATACTTGCAAATTAACAGAACAATCCTATGCTTAGATCAAAAATCCCACTGTATGCAACCAGACTTCGGGTAATACTTTACAAGGGTTGCTAGTCTTGGTTCCAGCCTCCCCGAGAAGGATGCCCCGTTTCCTTTTAGATTACGCGACCGTGTGCTTTACGGAAGGCGCTTCGGACTTTTAGAGGCTTTCAGCTGTCGAACGGAGGGTAAATAGCTAGAAGTCCTAACGCCACCAGAGCGACCGGCCGCTCGGAGGCTGGTCCGCCCTCCTTCCGAGAATGTCGGTTTTCTCAAACGTCCACCTTGTTTCAGAGGTAAAGAGGTAAAAGTTGTAACTTTGCGCCCGACAAAGTTTCCTGCTTACAAGGGGAAGGAGGAGGAGGAGGACGCCGAGTCCCTCGCCTAGTTTTACAGTTGAGCATTCTCAACCCACTTCTTTCCTTCCCTCCCTCCCTCCCTTCCCCTTTAGTTCCGAGCCTGACGGGGTTAGGAGAATGGAACAATGCTGTAATCAATCACCATCAGCGTCGTAATGGCGCCAGATCGCGAAAAACTGGCTTGCCGACACCGTCGCCTCTTGCAGGTAAGCCTCCGCGGTCATGGCGCGAGTCTTGGGCAACCGGCGGGCGCAAGCGAAGCAGGGAGGTCAATGGCGCGGTTGTTAGGTGCCTCTGTCCGCGGTGCTGACCGGCTCTCTGCCCGGAGAAGTTCTCCTCGTTCTCAGCCGAGGACTCCCTATTTATCCACTTCTTTGCCTCCGAACTCCGCCCTTGGAGCGCTCCCTCCCTCCCTCCCCCTCTCTCTCCTCCCCCCCTCTCATTGATCCTCCTCTCTTGCAAAGCGGGATGGTCTCCATAAAGCCAACTCTCCTCCCCACCGAATCCAAAAGGCTTTTACATCTTCGGTGAGGAGGCTCTGCTCCCCAAAAGGCTTTTACATCTTTAATGCTATAAAAAAAGTAATGAAGACCTTCCAATCCCGGAAACCTCCCACCTTCCTCTCCTACAGAACCACATTTTCCACCTTAAATAAATGAAAACAATCCGAAGTTCCATGTGGCCCAACATTTCTTCAACTTGGTGCTCTCCAGATGTGAGAGAATGTGATCTCCACATCTGTGGGCCAGGTTGGGATGCATTTAAATACACCCATTGATCCCGGACTTCTGGAATAACAGGAATAAAAAGCCTGTTAAAGTTTGCCACCCAGGCAGGGGAAGAGGAACTGAGTGGATAGAGGAATTCAGCAGGCAATTTAGCTGACTATTTTCCATCAAGAGTAAAACAATTTCTCTAGTAAGTTGTCTTGATTGCAGAATTTCCCACTAGAGGGAATAACAGCATTATAACTGAAACCTCTAGAGAATTTCCTTCAGGACATTATTCCTCAGTATTTAATTTCTAATATCACACATGCACAGCTTGGCCACACAAAGTATTCTACCTTCCAAAAATTTTGGAATTTTTCCCCAAAATTTTCTGCTTCTTTGAAATACAATCTAAAGCAAATTCTCTTTCTGTAAACCGAATGAAAACATGTGACAATGTATTTGTCTGGCAATAAGAAAATATAAACCTTGGTTATTCTAGCTCCCGGGAGCCAAGAATTTAACATTCCCACCAGATAATTAGATAATAACTATTGATATAGTTCTCTCTATGAGTTACATCATTTATCTTCTCCCCAATCAGGTGTTATCCAAATGAGTTGGATTTCAACTGCCCTTATCCTTGGCCATCTCAGTGTCCTTGCTGGCCTTGTTCATATCCTTCCAGCTTCCCCATTGATTTTGCTTGTTGCAAATGGTGATCACATAACTGCAGGATGCTGTGACCATCATAAATGCATGATGGTTGCCAAGCTCCTGAATCAACATCTCAAGAGTTTGCTGATGCTGTGACAGTCAGAAGAAATGGGAGGACAGATCACAAATCATTTTTTTCCAGTACAGTTCAAACTTCAAATGGACACTAAACAAATGGTTGGTTAATAAGGATTACTTATAGCTCTTTAAAAACAAACAAACCCTCTTTCTCATCTTGTCCTCCCAAATCATTACTTGTAAAACACTAATTCATTGTGAGAAAGCAAGAAGGCATAATTATTCCACAGTGATGAATTCCGAATCAATAGCATGGAGATATTTGTGCAGTCTCAAATAATTTATGAACCATAGGAATTTAAGGCTATTACATATGTATTCGCAACATTTGCCACGTATGATTAAAAGAAGTGATTGGAAATCATTCTGAGTCAAAATCTTTGAAGCCCATCAAGTAGATCTGCTTGTTTTACATTTAACAATCATCCCAGCCATGCAGAGTGCTACTAAATAGATATTTTCCTACAGCCCAACACTTTTCCCAACATAGAAACTTTCCCAGGGGAATTTCTGACACTTGATTAAGAAAAAGCAAAGAAAATTGATGGCCAAAAGTGTTTAAATCCATAGACGCCTTAAGGAACTTTGCAACATATTTTGCTGATTAAAAGGCATGTTGGTTCCCACAGAGGCACAGAAATGGCAAGGAGTTAGTTGTCAGTTGTGCCAGCAATACCTAAGAGAGAAGTATTCTCAATGGATAATGAAATCATGTTTGTCAGAAGGCTTTCTGAGACCAATCAATGGGCCTAAAAGAGAGAAAGTTAGAAGGCTAAGAGATGGTACTATATGATGAGGACCTTTTCGGTATGATGACCTTTTATATCTGTCAAGTAAATTAAACTTCTCTGCACAGTGCAAACTTTCATCGTGTAGCAGCAATCTTAGTAGAAATTCAAGGTTGAATCAGTTTCCATTGTCATCTACCTTTTGTTGATATTGGTAGTAGCTGCCGGCAGTGCATGTTGAACACAGGGCATGCATTGTCTTCCATTGGTCTCTCTGATCCTTTATTCAGAGAAAGCTGGATGAGTTCAGATCAATTATTCTTAATTATACCTATACTGAACAGTGAACCTTTTCCAGAATGAGATATTTGTTATAGGTAATAAAGAACTGTGATAGTGTTTCCTACATAATTCACGTATTTTACTATGTTTTTTTCCCTTTTATGGGTGAACAAAATGCAATTTTACATTTTATGTGCTTGATTGATCTGCAGTAGAACTATTAGTTTAATTGTTACATTAATCAGCCCAAATTATAGTCAATTAACCTGTGGAGTCCAATGTTTATTGGTAAATGCTAATGGATTTAGGCTTTTGTTTATTTTTTTTTAAACTTTTATTTCTATTGTGAAAGTACAGAAAGAAATGGAAAATAATATATTAAAAGAGCATTGCAGAGAATATTAATAATCCCTGAATTAAATTTGTATTAACAGTTCAGCATTAACAGTTTAAAACAGTTGGGTATTTTCTACAAAAATATACATATTATTTATGGAATGTCCTGTGTAATAAATTAAAACAGAAGTGTTGCAGCTATGAAAATCAAACTGTATATCAGTCTGACCAAACAAAGCATCTACATATGAGTTTGACCATAGCTCATTTGTACCTTGAAAAGTTCTAATATGTGGGAAAGATACGAATTATAATTAATCCATTTGGGATGTTAGGGATAATGATGATGATGACGTTTGTCCATCATGTTTGAAGAGGACCTTGACATTTAACGGGTTGTGGGCTCTCCATGATGTGTCAGCAGGTGGCTGGTAAGGCTTACATGGGCATGAAATGTTCTGCCACATGTCGGGCAGACATGTGTGGGCACCATTGTTGCAGCATTTGCATCTCTGGCTTTGCAGAGTGCTCGTTTCTCTTGTGCTATAGTTGTTCTTCTGTCCTCAGATGTCTGGCAGCCTTGGTGGATCAGTGTGTGCCATGTTGAACGATCTTGTCCCAGGGTTTCCCAAGAGGTGGTGTCAATTTCCAGGGACTTAAAGGAGGCTTTTAATGTGTCTTTGTATTGCTTCTTCCCCCCCCCCCTCCGCCCTGCAATCACTTTCCTTGGGACAGCTCCCCATAGAGGAACTGTTTGGGGAAGCGATGGTCTGGCATCCTTGCAACATGGCCTGCCCAGCATGTCTGGGCTTTCATCAGCAGGGTGTGAAACAGTGGTGGGTTTCAAAAATTTTTAGAACCTCTTCTGTAGGTGTGGCCTGCTTTGTGGGAGAAGCTTGCTGGCCATGTGAGCGGGCGAGAGTGGCTTGCCGGCCATGTGACTGGGTGGGCGTGGCCAACTTGTAAAATATGGTGAAACTAACTTAACAACGCTCTTGCTTAGCAACCAAAATTTTGGCTCAGGAACTCTGGCATTGAAATGTGCAAGTCTTAAAGCTGTCAAGTTACAAGACCCTTGCACCCCTAACCCTTTAGAAAAAAACCCAGAGGTGTTCAAACTTGACAGCTTTAAGACTTGTGGACTTCAACTCCCAGAATTCCTCCTCTCTCTCTTCATCTTGATGATGTGTGGATGGGCGGGGGGGGGGAGCTGGAACCGGTTCTAAACGGCAATAATAGATTTGTGGAACCTCTTCTATGGAAGAGATTAGAACTGGCAGAAACCCACCCCTGGTGTGAACTGATGGCAAGCCTGGTCTAGAGAGGACTTATGTGTTTGGCACCTTATTCTGCCACCGGATCTTCAGAATTCTATGGAGGCAGGTCATGTGGAAGTGGTTCAATTGCCTAGCATGCCTCCTATATACAGTCCAGGTCTCACTGGCATAATGATGCAGCAATGGTGAATATCTGCATTCATGCATATGAAAATCAATCTGTACTAGTCCTCTTATATTGTGGGAACCACAACTCTTGAACTCTTCCATGCAGGGCACACTCTCATTGCTGAGTAAAGAAATCAAGTTTATGTTCCTTATAGAGCCATATAAAGAGATGAACCAGGGCATGTTGGTCGATTGAAACTAATTTTGCTCATGGACATAAAGGAACCAGGCATTTACATGAGAAAAATAATTGAGTTCCAAATCTCCATTGAAATAACTTTTAATATCCTTAGAGAGAAATCATAATGTTTGGAAGGCCGCAAATTTACCTTGCACTGTATTTTAGGAGTAAGCACATTAAGAAAATATGAAAGATAAATCCAAACATACATGGGCAGACCCCATACTGAGCAGACCCCAAACTATTGGTTTTAAAGATTCAGAGAACAAAGTAAACCTTGATGCTTAAACCCAATTGATGCATACAAAGGGAGGAAAAGGAGCAAAATGTAACTTCCAGTATGGAACAGGATTAAGACATGGTTAAACATTTTCCTCTGTACTACTTCCCCAAAATAAATTACATTAGGTATTAAAGATTTATGGGCAATAGAGGACAAACAGAAATATAAACCAGTATCATTGGTTATTATTTCCACACCATTACTGTTTTATAGGAAAAAATTATATATTAGAAGTTGCATTGTGTTACTTTAAGCTTCATTAAGAATCATAAATGTGGAATGTGGATATAGCAATTATTCTTCATCAATGAATCCAGAATAAATAGCAGAGGGGGTGGTATATTTCTTTGTGTATGATCTTTAATTGAGTAGTGTACCTTCTTGAGTTTCTTTATTCCACTTTTCAGTAACAATCTTTCATTCATTTTCCTAGCTAGCAAGACAGAGAGCAAAGTACCAGACAGAGAAATAATTATCTTCTACAAATAGCAAAAGCTCAGTGTTATCTGTTTCCATGGACTAAGCTAATCTATAGTCATGTTTCCATGGAGAATGGTTCCACTTTCATTATGACCACTGAACATC